TATCGGCAGGCTTGGGGTCTGAAATTGCGGGCGGGGGGCCCCAAGAACAGACGTTTCGCGGGATGGCGGTGCGGGGCGAGGTAGGGGGCGTGGAAGGAGGTATCGGTAGGTGTGGGGTTCGAAAGTGTCGGGTGGGGGCTCCCCAGAACAAGCGTGTCGTGGGGTGGGGGTACCTGGGCGAGGTGGGGGGCGAGGAGAGGGGTATCGGTAGCTTTTGGGTCCGAAATTGTTGGGTGTGCGGTCCCAGGAACAGTCGTTTAGTGAAGAAGGGGTGCCGGGGCGAGGTGGGGGGCGAGGAGTGGGGTATCGTTAGGTTTTAGATATGACATTGTCGGTGGGGGGGTCCAACAAATCAGAGCTCGCGTGGGGTGGGGTTGCCGTGGCGTGATGGCGCAGTGGTGGGAGCGCAGTGGGGTGTGGGTACGTTGCGGGCGACAGCGCAGGGTGAGGATTCTGGGCGGGATCGGTGGCCTTAGCACGGCCCTTCATCTCACACGCCTCTGGGGCCGGCGGATTTTTACCACGTTGCTGATGAATGTCTAGACGATCAGATCATAGCACAAGGTTTGCCGTGGGTTTGCCGTGGGGTCGGCGTCGCCCACCTGGGCGCGTCGAGGACAGCTGGCGCGGTGGCAGTCTGGTCTTCAGCAGTTCCTACGCTTCGAACCCAGACCCCCGCCGTCAGGATTTTTTCATAACGTCGACCCCTGGAGGTCTCGACCCATTCCCAAGGACCGGCTCTTCATCCTGAGCCGTTTTTTGACGGTCCCGAGGCCGGTGAGGGTCCTCGGTGGCCGAAGATAGTGAAACATCTCCCGTCGTGATTTTTCCAGGACTGGAGGGGGGCTGGGAACTTGGCTGCGGTGCTGGAGCTCGGGCTCGGGCTCGCGCCCGGGGCGGGGCCTCGGCTTGGGGCTCGGGCCTCGCACCCGGGCTGGGCGAGGGGCCGTGCCTCCCCCACGCCGGTGTGCCCAAGCCGGCGGCGGCCAGCCGAGGGGGGGGGGACAAACCGAAAAGGGGCGGGCCTGGGCAGAAGGCGCGGGCGCCCCCCCCCGGCCTTTGAGGACGCTGACTCATGACATCTCGACATCTCCCGGCCGGATGTCACGGCCCCCTCTTCTTCTTCTTCTTCTTCTTTTTCTTCTTCTTCTTATTCTTCTTCTTCTTCTTCTTCTTCTTCTTCTCCTTCTCATTATCATTAGTATTCCTCTTCTTATTCTTCGTTTGCTTAGTATTATCATTATTCTTATTCCGACGCGCTAGCTGGCCCCATGTGTTTCTTCTTCGTCTCCTTCTTTCGGCGCGTTCGCTGGGCCCGCGCACGTGCCGCGGGCCATGGCCTGCTGCCCCCGAGGCACAGGAAGGTCTAGGGGGCCACATGCGAACCCGACCCCTACGCCCCACGACTTCGGAGGGGGAGGGTTCACCACCCACCAAACCACCCCAACCCAACCCGAAGGCCCAAATTTATCCTCGATTTCCAGTGGAGGGGGGTCGGGGAACGTTGAAAAAACACATGGTATCCGTACCCCCCCCAACCCGAAATTCGGGTCAAATTCGGGTCTTCGGGTTGGGTTGGGGTGGTCTGGTAGGTAGTCAAGGGTGGGGTTCACTTCGCTCGGGGACCCTCAAGAGACCGGAGGCCTTCCGAGAAGTGCCGCCGCGCCTTCTGAGAGGGCCTCTTCCTTCTCACCCTCTCCCCCCCTGGGCGCGGCGCCGATCTGCAGGGGTCGTCGGATTTCACGGCAGCCCCGGCAAGTTGGCCCGAGACCGCAACAGCACCCCCCCCTACGCCGGCGTGCAGTTCCAGGAGTTAACAGCCTGGAACATATCCCTATCCCTATGGTTGACCTCACCTCACCTCGATGCCGATCTTAAGGATTCCCTCAGTTTTCGAGGGCCTATCCCTAAGATTGCCCTCGCTTTCTGTTCGCCCATTTTAGGGATAGGGATACGTTCGAGGCTGGTTAAGGAGTCCGCGCCCGTGGACGCCATCTGCTGCAGCGGCTTCGATCAGCGCCTGGGCAGCTCGACGGGGATGCTGGGCTCGGCCATATTACCAGCCTCGAACGTATCCCTATCCCTAAGATTGACACGCCAAAAGGCGATGACAATCTTAAGGATTCGCCCTCAAAACATAAGGAAATCCCTAAGGTTAGCATCGGGATAGGGATATGTTCCAGGCTGGTAACCATATACCTTGCGGACAAGGTCTCGAAAGCGGACTGCTATGCCGGCAAGTACGGGGATGAAGGGGAGACCACGGTCGGCGAGACGGCCTGCATCTTCATCTCCCGCGTCACCTTGGGCTGTCCGTATTTGGCCGAGCATGCTTTGAATGGCATCCGGAGGCCGCCGAGTACGCATGAGGAGTTTGACGTCCAACTCTTGTTCGACCAGACGCCCTTCTTCAGCTTCGCGGCCCGGGCTAACACCACCGTCAAGGATTTCTGGAAGGACAAGCAGCGGGATGGTTGGAGTGTAACCTCCTCCCACTATGAACGATTCAATTCTGTGATATCGAGTAACTACATAGACGGCACGTCACCTGCCCACTATAAGCGTTATCACGAGTACGCCGTTTACCATGGAACAGAGGCTTACCCTGAGTTCAAGGTGACTTATCCATGTGCCTGCGGCAAGTTCCACCACCGTGCTAGCGCAATCATCGGTGCATGTGGCGACCATATGTGCATCGCGGAGCCCCGAAGGCCTCAACATGTTACCCGTATCCTTCTCAAGCCCAGCAAGGCCATAGCATGTGAGAGTTCTTTCTCTGATGATCCACAGGGCTGTATCATGTGACTCCTCTGTTCCCCAGTTCCCACAGGGCCAGATGGAATTCACTAGCTCCTCTTGACAATCGGATAGATCGGCTTCCCGCTTTGGAGAAGTCCGTGGCATACATGTCACAATACATGTTTGCGTCGTGATTGGTGCTTTCCGTGGCAGCCTGCGAGGGGTCTTCGGCCCATTCTCGAGGATCTTGCGTCTGTCCCGGAGGTCGTAGAACAGTTTCGGAATGTCTTGTGCCTTACGAGTTTTTCGGGGCTTGTGTGGCTTCCGTCTCGTGGAGGTATTGGGCCGGTATTACGTTCGTCGTCCCGCTTGTGAGTGGCGTCATTCAGCCTACAGTAGCGAATGTTTGCGCACGGTGCTGAACGACGGAGGCAGCTTGGGGCCCCTCAGAGGCTTCTTGGAGAGGCTCTGGGAGGCCCCCATACGGCCTCTCGGGTGCTTAACTATCATGCAACCATTCTTGGATTAAATTGTTCGTGGGGGCTGTAGGCTCCACTCTTGGGCTCTCTTGGATGTGTCTTGGAGATGTCGTGCGATGGAGTTGGACGGTATCGGGACCGTCCGAGGGGCGTCCTTGTTACGTGGTGCCGCCAAGGAGCCGGAGCGGAACTGGGGGGTGGGGGCAATGCGCGGGGGTGATGCGGCCAGGGGGAGCGTTCAGAAAATTGCAGAAGCCAGGTCAGCGTAGCACGCCCCAACGTGTCGGGGGGGCACAGTGGCGGATGAGCGAATGAGCGAGAGCATCCGTCCGGGCTCGTGATGTGGCTTTTGCGGGTCATGGCATTAGGCGCGAGGGGCGTGAGTGATGACTGGGAGCGAGCACGCGTCCCAGCATCACCACACGTTCCTGCACAGTGGCGCTTGTTATGGAAAATGAGCATACTCTGTATTGCCAAGCACTTCGTCAGCATTGTTCCAGGAAGCTGGCCGAAGTTGTAGCCCGCCTGCGCATTCGCGGGGATGTAATTGAAAGATCGGCACATCTTTTGCTCAACAGAAACTTAATTCAGCCGGCATGCCCTTATTGTTTACATGATGTTGGCGTCGGCTTGTTTGTTTGATTAGCAGCAGCAGGGTGAAGGGGAGGAGAAGGAGGAAGTCGATGACGGCGGAGGAGGATGGAGGAGGAGGGATGCTGAGGAGGGAGGGGGAGGAGGAGGATGAGGAGGAAGAGGAGAAGGAGAAGGACCAGTGCAAACCCAAGGCTCATCAACGATGTTGAAGAAAGCCTCCCTCCAAGCTCCCTCTTCATCGGCCACTACAGTGGTTCATTCCCACGAAGGGACATGCCCAGTTGGGAGACAACCGTTTGAATCTCATTAAGCATGCCAAAACATCATTTTCAGGATTTCAACACCCCGGATCAACATGACTGTTGCGTCTTGACGGTCCTGAATCGTGCCAGAAAGGCGTTTTTGGGACTTCAACACCGTGAGTCAACGAAACCGCTGCGCCTTGACAATCGTAAACCGTTCCGACACATTGCTTCTGTTACGATGGCCATGAGAATATGTGAAGTTCTTGCACATGTGTTGAGACGAATGCGCGGCGCTGAGGCCAGAGCCACATGTTGAAAAGGAGCCGCCTTCCATCCATGAAATTCTTGTAATGTTTGAGACGAGCGTGCCAAGGCGAAAACCACATTTTGACAACCAGCCCTCCCTCCGCGAAGCGCTGGCAAATTCTTCACGCTGTGCGTATCCCCGCCACTCTGACGTGGTACCTCGCAGCGTTCCCCCATCCACCGTGGCAAGGAAGGTGCAAGCTGGGGCTCCAACGACTTGGCTGCCGACGCCCGGCTTCGTTGACGCACCTGGCTTCGAGCACGTGAGGTTTGTGAGTGAGGCCTCGTTTTCTCCCCCCCCTCCCTCGTCGCCGCCCGCGCCTTCCCCCGTCTGCTCCTCCTCGCCGCGTTTGGCGGTGCTTCTCCTGGGGTTCTGTGCTGCCCGCACATTGTTCCCGCCATCCGCAGGCTTGGTGTGCGGAGGTTGGCGCCGCAGTGCGTCCCTCCGCCGTCTTTTCCAGTCTGCCCGCACCTTGTTCCCGCCTTCCGCTGGCTTGGTCTGTGGTGGCTGGCGCCACCGTGCGACCCTCCGCCGGCTTTTCCTTGTTGCCCCCCCCCCCGCCTCCCCTCGTCGCCGCCCGCGCTTGCCCCCCTTTCTGCTCCTCCTCGCCGCGTTTGGCGGTGCTCTCCTGGGGCTCTGTGCTGCCCGCGCACTGTTCCTACGCAGGCTTGGTCTGTGGGGGCTGGCGCCACTGTGCGACCCTCCGCGGGCTTTCCTGTCTGTTCTAATGGGGTTCATTTTGTCCCTCGCACGTGCATTGCGGCGTTGGCCTGTGCGCCTTCGTTGCCAATCGTCTCGCATTGCGCCCCTGTCGAGATTGACCCGCCCTCTGGAGCCGTCCTTTGGGCCGCAGGTCAAAAAGTATCCCCACCATTCCATTCAGAGACCCTGGCCTTGAGAGCTGACGGGACAAGGGACGAAGAGACACATCTAGTCAAGCAAAGCGAGCAACCAGGGTGACCAGGGAGACCTCTGGGGGCAAGGGGGTGGCTTTGGAAAGCCCCTCGGGACGCTCTTGTGGCCCTCTTGGAGCTCTCTTGGGGCTCTCTTGGTGGCCTTTTGGGAGCCCTGGAGGGCCTCTCGGGGCTGTCGTGCAGGCCGTCGGTGAAACGAGGGCGCTGCTAACGTTTAGTCTCCCCTTCTGGGCCATCAAAGCAGCATCTTGGGACGCTCTTGGCCCCCTCTTGGGGCGCTCTTGGGCGGTCTTGGGGCCGTCTTGGGGGCATCTTGGGCCCCCCATTGGAGCTCTCTTGGGCGACGTTGTGGCCACGTTGACGCCTCAAACATTCATCGGAAGAGAAAAAGGCGAGAAGGCAACCATTATGTATGTTCGTTCGGGTTTTGAAGAATTTGGTCTTCTCGGGGAGGTCCTGAGGGATCTTTGAGGGCACCTGGAACCGTCTTGTAGCCCTCTTGCGGCGTATTGGAGGCATGGTTAAGGTCATTTTGAGCGATCTTGCGCTATCTGGAGCCCTCTTGGAGACCATCTTGGAGCATCGGATGCCCTCTTGGAGCCATCTTGAGCGAAAAAGGGCCTCTGAGGACTCGCGTCATCCCCATCCAGACCCCGGGGAGGGGAGGGGGAGGGTACCCATCCCCGAAGGAAAAAAGGAGCTGTGGAAGAAGAAAAACAGGCATCGTTATACCGCCTACGCCCAGAACGCTGGTGGGATGTTCACTGCGAACGTGTGCGGCGCTAGGGCGAGAGCCACACTTTGAACAACCACCCGCCCTCAATCCGTGAAGTTCCTGCGATGTTTTGTGCGACGAGTGTGCGCGGCGCTAACTGAACATTTTCTTTGGGTGGAGGGCTGGGTGGAGGGCAAAGGGTGGTAATCTGAAGTGCCGTTTTGGTGGATTTTCGAAGCTTGAATCTGCAAAAGGTGAATCACAAGACGGCTTGATTTTCGAGGTACAAAAGCCCATGTGGATTCCACCCTGAGCCCTCCACCCTAAGAACATGCTCAGGCTAAGACGAGAGCCACATCTTGAACTCCACCCACCCTCCATCTGTGAAGCGATTGCCACTACTGCTAAGCCTCAGGACCATCAGCGGCACGGAAGTCTGTAGCGAAACGCCCGGCCCGCCCTTCCGACTGGCTTCGGGATTCGCCAGGGAGGAGTTTCGTATAAGGCAAAGGAACGGAGGAGGAGGAGGACGAGGAGGAGGAGGAGGAGGAGGAGGACGAGGACGAGGAGGAGGAGGAAGGAGGAGGAGGGAGCAGGGAGGAGGCAGCAGGGAGGAGGGAAGAGGAGGGCGGGGAGGAGGGTGCTCACGACGATGCCCTCGGGACCGCGTCTGCGCCGCCGGCTCGCCCCGTGCACTCCCCAGGGGGCTCACCGCACACCCCGAGCGCGCCGCGATCGCGAGTGAGCAGACGCGCGCGGGCGATCCTGTCCGCGACGCCACAGATCGGAGGAGGACGCGTTGAGACAGCGGCGACGCTCCCTGGCGGTTTCAGCCCCCTGCGGGCCTCCAGGGGGCTTCTCGTCGCCACGCCTAGGCCTGCCCCGGAAAACATGTCAGGATAGACTGGGGACCGATTCTGAGCGGATTCGTGCCGGGCGGACGGGCCGCAGTTGTCTTCGGGAGCCTTGAGACGATCCTTCAGGGACAGGGTCGCATTGACCAGGGTTTGGGTGCAGGATTCTGCTGGATCTTGCAGGCTCCTGAGCATTGACCAGGGTTTGGGTGCAGGATCTTGCAGGACTTGCAGGATTCTGCAAGGCCTGATTGATCCGGGTCTGGATTGGCCCGGGTCAGCAGATCCCCGATGTCTCAATTGGACGTCCTCCGAACAGATCTTGCAAAGTCTTTCGAACATTCGCGAATAGAGAGAGCGCCCACCCAGACAAGGCGACTGCGAGAATCTGCACGTGGTCGCCCGACATCGGTACTTGAGTGTACCGGAGCAGCCCCCAGTAGGTTCCGCTACTCGACATGTGCTTCGCCGATTACATATGTCTTCGTTGTTTTTGTTGTTTGTTGGAACAACCACAGAAATCAGTCGGTGATTCTTGCATACCAACTATTATGTCTTCCGCCCGTGTGCGCTCGGAATGCGGTAGCACTCGCACCCGTGAATTGCCCATGCCAGCTTGTCGCCAAGGGGACTTTGTTAAAATCGGGGGCGGCAAAGAGGGGGCTGATGACTAGGGGGGGTGGATATCATGACGTGGGCCATGATATTTCCCCAGGTTTCGCGGCGACTCTTCTAATTTCATTATGTCCCTGGCCCCCCCTTGGGCCGCGCACATGCCGCTGGCCATGATTGGCACCCCCCCCCTCTTGAACGCCCCCCCTCTTGGCCGCCCCCGGTAAAGGAGGCTCAGCCAATCCTCGAAACATCGCCCCCCCCCCCTTCCCCGGCCTGTTTTGCGTGCCGCCCTGCATTCGATTGCTTCGCACGGCACCTGCCGGAGCCTGAGCTGCACCACGCGTGCAGCGCTGCATGCTCTGAGCGCGGCGCCCTCCTTGCCTTAAGTCGGGCCTGTCCCTCTATAGGGGGAATATCCAAAAAACAGTCAACACATAGTCAGGGGACATTTTTTTTGTTTTACCATTTTTGAGCATTTTTAGGGCATTCCTGTGGTATTTTTATTTTTTTGTCCAAAATCGGCCTGTAGGGGGACAGGCCCGTCTTAATCCTCGCCCTCCTCCGCGGCCGCTTCGCGACCTGTCTGCCGGCCTCGATGCGCACTTCGCTCCTCCGCGGCCCCGCTCCCAGCGCCAGGGTGCTCTCCATGAGGTCCGCCGCGCGCGCACAGTTGCAGTGGAACGGGCGGCGTCGTCACGTTGTGAGGAGTACTGGATGGGAGACGGACGAGGATGATCAGCAAGTGGGGCAGGGCGAGGAGGAGGAGCAGGAGGAGGATGGAGCAGAAGGAGTAGGAGGAGGAGAGGAGGGACGGCAACGCGAGAAGTGGGAGAATGAGTGTGAAGGGCAGCCATACTAGCAGTACCAGATGGAGCCAGATGAGGAAGAGGAGGAGAAGGAGGAGGAGGAGGAGCAGGAGGAGGAGGAGGAGAGATGAGGAACATAGGAATACAGCAAATCGTGGGGGGGGGAGAAGGATGGGAAAGAGAGGAAGGATGACGAGGGAGAGAGGGAGCACAGCGTGAAGGAGGAGGAGGAGGAGGAGGAGGAGGAGGGAGAAGAAAAGAACGCTGACGAGGTTGGGAGGGGAGGAGCAAAGCGTGGAGTAGGAAGAAGAGGAAGCGGGGGAAGAGGAGGAGGAGGAGGAGGAGGAGGAGGAGGAGGGCAGCGGCCGAGCGAGGAGATGGAGAGAAATGAGGGATGGGGGAGCAGGAGGTGTGTCGGCAGTCCCAAAGTGTGCCGGCAGCTCCCGCGCCGCATCGTCGGTGCAGCGGCGGCACGGCCGGATAGCCAGCACCGGGTGTGCTTCGTCCCGGCGTGCACGCGTCGCTGGCGTGTGTGTCGTCGGCGGTGCGGCTCTTTCGCCAAGGTCCTTTGGGGCCCCAGCCACTGTGTGGCCACATGAAGATGAATTGAGTCGGGCCTGCCCCTCCACAGGGGGAATCTTCCAAACCAGCCACAACATATTCTGGGGACGATGTTTTGACTATGTTTGAGTATGTTTGAGCATCTCTTGGTACTTTTTTTGTTCATCTAAAATCCGCCTGCGGGGGGGCACGCCCGACATAACATTAAGAGGGCCTCCAGGGACTCCCGGGGAGGGAGGGGGAGAGGTGTGGGGGTTGCGGTCAAGCTCCTCCGTGCAGTCAACCCGCATAGTAAGGATGGGCAACCTGCCCAAGCGTACCCTTGCATCCTTGCCTCCTCGGTCCATCCTTGGTCACTTTCGTTGGCCGCGCCCCGCTCGGAAAGCTTCGAAATGGGTGTCCAAGGCCCTTGCATCCTTATCGCGCATCCTTACTATACGGGTTCGCTGTGTCCTCCTGCACCTTCGACCGCGACGACGGTCGTTGACGACGCTGGCGACGACGACTACGATCGCGAACGGCGATGGCGACGACGCTGGCGACGCGACGGCAAGGCTGGCGAAGGCCACGGCGACGCTGGTGAGGATGACGCCGGCGCCGGTGACGCGATTGACGACGACGTCGACCTCCACGCGTGGGGCCAGATCCGCCCCCCTGCCGCCAGGTCTGCGGCCTGCGGCCCGGGGAGTTCATCCACACGCTGGGCCCTCGCCCCCCGCCCTCTCGAGGGCAGGGCCGAGAGAGGGATGGCAAGGAGGGTCTTCCTCCTCGCCTCCTCGCCACCCCCTTCCTACTCGTGTGGTCTCCGGGGGGGCATCCTCGTCGCCACGGCTGGACGCAGCTCGAAAAACTGGTTTTGGGGCTATCCCGGTGGGGGGCTCTGGGGACTGATTTTGAATGTATCTCAAGCAGGTGGTGTTGGCTGTCCTCTCTACGACTTCGAGCCTTGCATGCCCACTCCGGGCCCTGGGACTGTCAAGGAACGACCCGCGACCCAGCACGAATGGCCAGTCCTGGGAGAGGGGTCGAGAATCCGGAGGGCCCACGACACAAAGAGTAGAGATGTCGGAGGTCTGGGAATGACCCGCCCTCCATCCAATATTTCAAGCTCAGGAGAAACGCCCAGCCCGCCCTACGAACACGCCTGGGGTGCGACAGGGATGAGCTATGAGGACAAGGAACGGGAGAGGGGGGATGGAGGCCGGAAGGAGGGTTCTCCCTCCCCTGAGATCTGACGTTGCCCCAAAAATGCAACATCGCAAACAATCGCGACCGAGCCCCCAGACCACATTTTTCGGCGCCATTTTTCGAGCTGGATCGATCCGTGAGGGTCCCGGGGCCCGAAATGCAGCGCAAACGCCCGGCTCGAACAAAGTTGAGTCGCGAGGATCTCAGGGTCCTTGTTCCTCTCCTCCTCACGACTCCGCGTTCTCCCTCTTCCTCCTCGCCCCCTGCTGCTTATCCGACGAGACACGGGCCCGTGGCTGGTGTCGGGAGCGGGCCCTCGCCGAGCAGACGGTGCGCCGTCGGAGGGCCGGGGTCCCCTCCCAGTGGAGCACGCCCAGCGCGAAGCCTCTCGTCGAGCAGAGACCTCATCCTGCACCCTCGCTCAGCAGAGGAAAAGGCACCCATCGGGCTCCCACGTCTCCTTCTCCCCTCTTGGGGGCCTCCTGGGAGGCCCTCGTCGCCGCTGCTGGATTCGCCTCGAACTCCTGGTCAGAACGCACCCCAGGAGAGGTCTGGGGAGTAGCGGTATCGGTACCTCCTGGCCTCCCCAGGAGGGGGGGTGGGGGGGGGACAAGCTAGGTGCGTTCGTGCCTCATCTGACATCTTATCCTTCCCTCCCATCCCTTCCATGGCGCTAAGTTTTCTCTGTCCGCACACGCGTGTACTAGCCGACTTGCGACGCGCACATGAGGGGGAGGTGGCGGGTGAGCAGGAGGATGAGCGGGAGGAAAAGGATGAAGAGCAGCAGCAGCAGCAGCAGCAGGAATTAAAGCGGAAAGATCGGGAGGAAAAGGAGGACCAGGGGAAGGCGGAGGAGGGGAAATGAGTGGGGCGATAACGATGAAGAACAACGCGGATACAGAAACGTGGTCCGAGTTGGGGCGAGATGAATTGCAGCAGCAGCAGGAATTGGAGTGGAAGGAGCTGGAGAAACAGGGGGACCTGGGGAAAGCGGAAAAAAGGAAATGAGGAGGGAGGACTCCAATGGAGCAAGATTCGGATCCAGAGAAGTGGCCCGCGCTGGGGCGAGGGCGCCATTCTCAACGACGGCAGCAAAGCGGCGATTCGAAAATGAGGCCCATGCTGTAGCGGGAACGTCATTGTTAAATGCCGTAAACAATCGGATAGTTGAAGACCAAGAAACAACGTCTGAGATCTTGTGTTCTTAAAAAGAGCAAAGCACGCGGAGAGTGCGGTAGACCTTCGCGACAATTTCGGAGGGAGAGTAGTACTCATATTGCTGAATAGTGGAGGGGCATGAGGAGGAGCCGGTGGAGAAGGATGAGGAGAGGAGGGGGAGCAAGAAATCGGCAACGATGGAGTGGAGGGCGACGCTACAGCAGCACTTAGGACAGCGGCTTTGCCACAATCTCCCGCCTTGGCTTCGAGTCGCATTATGCCGACAACTCGAGGTGTTGCATGACTTGTTCCAGCAGCACGGCCGACCTTTCCCGCGGGGGTTGTTGACAAGTTCGCCAGCCACGCGACTCACACAGGAGCGGAGTAGCAGCGCCAGCTCTGTGTGTGGAGCGGCTCGTGCAAGACGCCTGCTGGAAGAGGTGCCAGCAAGACAGATCGCATGGGCAGCACGCGGCCCCGCACGCCTGCTGGGCTGGCGGCTTCGGTTCGGCGCTCCGCGAGGGCACCTGGGCCCGAGGCTGGGCAGGACTGCTGGTCGCGCGGTTGTCCCGACCCCAGCTATCATCGGGTATGGCCAGGACCCTGGGTCAGGGGACCCGGTGAGTGGTAGGGCCCCGGAGCCTTCGAATTGGCCAGATGCCTTGAACCAGGTTTGCCACAGCTGGTGTTTTTCGGGTGGCGGCAGTTCCGGTGAGTGGAAACGGGACGGGGGGGCGCCCCCGGTACTCGGGGGCGGAAAAGAGGGGGGTGATGACTAGGGGATGGCGTGGGCCATGATATTTCCCCAGATTTCATGGCGCCTCTTCTTATTTCATTACGTCCCTGGCCCCCCCGCTGGGCCGCGCACATGCCGCCGGTCATGATTTGCACCCCCCCCCTCTTGGACACCCCCCTCTTGGCCGCTCCCGAGGTACAGATCACTGAACCAGGTTCTGCCAACATCCGATATGAGGGCACCCAGCCGTACCTGTTTCCAGCCTCCGGGTGAGACCAGTTCGGTCCGTCTGGGAGCGGGCCTTCGGAGGTCGGCGCCGGCTCCGAGTCCCGTGGCTCCAACCGGAGCGCTTCCAAGCGAGGGGATGCTGTATGTCTTGGTGCCGATGCCGACCTTCTTCTCTGCCGTGGGGGGGCCTGGCATCGCTCGGACGTGTGCATTCTTCCTTCGGCGAGGACCACTGGGGAGCATCCTTGCTCGTTTGGCGAAAAAAGCCACGCACGAAATTTGAAAACACACAGGGGATAGACGTCCGAGCGATGGCCAGGGGGGGGGAAGAGGAGGACGAGGCGGCGACGCCGGGTCGGACCCTGGTGGGGCTGCGGTCCGCCGACGGCGGCCCTGTCGGAGAAGCGGGAGGGTCGGTTGAAGCAGTGGAAGCCGGGGCAGGCGGAAAGGGAATGACTGGGTAGTCGAAGGCCAGGCTGTCAGATTGGATTGGGCCCCCAGGGCCAATCTGGCCCGGCCAAACTGGATGATTTGGGTCATTCGCCAGACTGGATTCGCGTTGGCTCCCTCGCCAGATTGCCCTCGTTTGCCAGATTGGGCCTGCCAGATTGGCGCCATATTGGCTTCGACTACCCAGAAGGAAGAGTGGAACTGGGAGGCGGCTGGAGAGAGAGAGAGGTTGAAAGGATGGGGGGGGTAACGAAGGAGGAACAGGAAAGGAGGAAGGAGGGATGATGACGGAGGGAAAGGGAATGAAAAGGTGGGAGGAGGATGGGAATGGAGGAGGAAGGAGGGGGGAGGAGAGGGGGTTGGAGAGAGGGGGGAGGAGGAGGGAGGAGGGAGTAAGGAGGAAGAAGGGAAAGAGAGGGGGAGGAAAGGAAAGACGGTACGTCTGGCCATGACCTCCTCCAACATTCCTCCTCACCTCCTTCCTCATCCTCTCGCCCCACCCTCTTCCTCTCTTACTATCGGGGAGGCGTAGAAGGTGAGGGTAGAAGGGGGGGCGGGCGAAACCTGCTGCTCAGCCGCCGCGCACAGTCTTCGATATATGGGTACATGGACGCATCTGGCGCCAGCAGGCGCCGGGAAAACCAGCTGCAGGCAGCTGCTTCGCGAACTCCTCTTATTGTCCCCTCCTCTCTCCCGCCCCGGTGCTCTTTCTGCTCTCTTTGCTCCCTCCTTCCTGGGGTCACACCCGGTGGAGGGCGGAGGACCTCGCAGATCTGCATGGCTTAATGTTCCCCAGAGGGCATCATGGCTTTCCCACTCGCTCACCCGAGCCTTTCGTAGAAGGTATCTTTCCGGAGTCCTGTCATCTCGGCAGGCGCGGGGAGCGGCTCAGTCTCCTTCCCCTAGCGCGGCCTCTTGCGATGGAGGCGAAGGCAATGGCTGCGGTTGAGCGATGCCAGCTCCTCGTGGCACTGGCGCCACTGGTGCGAGCGGCAACGGCCGGCACGGCTGAGGGAGGCGGAGGACGCCAGCACCTCGCCGCCGCAGTCGCTGCCGTGATGCGCACTGGAGTGGCGCTAATCTACGAGACGGCGTCGCACAGCGAGAAGCTCGACGGCGAGGAGCAGGTCAAGCTCGCTGCGCGGTTGGTGGCCATCGAGAAGGCGCTAGCCCTCCAGCTGGCGGGCAAGACAGTCCCAGGCAGTGTACGGTTCGAGCGCAACTTTGCGGACCGACGTGCTCATCCTGGAGACCAAGGAGAAGAAAAAACAGCGGGGCCAGCGGCGCGGGCGGCCGCGGGCTGGCCAGGTGGCGATGGCCTCGGTGGAGCCCATCGGAGAGCGACTCCAGCGTGAAGGACGGCGCTGGGGCTCTTTTCGAGGGCCGCGAAGGCCAGATGCAGGTGCAGAAGGACGTGGCGAACGGCGCTACGGCTCTCTTCGAGGAGCGGGAATGCAAGCAGAAGGAGCGGGAGACCAACGCGCGCGAGGACGACGGCAACGTCAAGATCGACAAGGCGGCGCAGCAGGCCGCAGCGGAGCAGGTGTCCCCGTGCTCTGATCTCTTCGCGCCCAGCGAGGAGGGCAAGCAGGCGGAGCTGGAGGGCATCGTTGACCCCGTCACGACCAATGAGGACGGCGGCCTGGAAAAGTCCGAGAGGATCGGGCCTGAGTGCCCCCTGCAGAGGCGACGGCCTGGAATCTGCAGGGGGGCCTCCCGTGAAGCCGACGGGGACTTTCATGGGGGAGACGCTCAGGCCCGCGGCGCTGGCGACGGCGGCAATAAGAAGATCGAGGGGGTGGTGCAGCACACCCTCGGCCATCCCGTGTGCCCTGTCGGTGACGAGTATGCGGGCAAGCAAAAAAGCGCGAGAGCATCGCCACTCCCAGCGCGATGAAGATGTTCGGGGTCGTCGCCAACGTGAAGATCGCGAAGGCGGTGCAGCAACCCGCCGTGTAGCAGGTGTTTCACAGCTCGGATCTCTTCGTCCCCAACGGCGAGGGCAAGCAGACGGAGCTGGAGGGCATCGTCATACCCACCACGACGAAGGAGTACGCCAGCGAGAGCGACACGGATGACGTCCCGCCTTGGGAGCGCGACGACCCAAACGACGACGAGTTCGACCGTGCCCGCAATCGACTTTTCCGTGAGAAGCTGGTTGCGCGTGGACGCCGCGGCTGAGGGCTCGGGCGAGGCGCGGGCGGCTGGGCCCCGCGGAGGCTCGTGTTCCTCCTCCGGGCCCAGCGGCGAGTGGGACCGAGAGACGTCACGGGGTTGCCGTGCCAGACGGACGCCACGGTGCTTGTCCGGGGGTGGCCACCCTATAACATAATTCTTCTCCTCCTCCTCCTCCCCCTCCTCCTCCTCCTCCTCCTCCTCCTCCGCCTCCGCCTCCCCTCGCCTCCTCCTCCTCCTCCTCCTCCTCCTCCTCTCTCCTCCTCTCCTCTTCCTCCTCCTCCTCCTCCTCCACCTCCTCCTCCTCCTCCTCCTCCTCCCCCCTCCTTTCCCTCCTCATCCTTTTCCTCCCCCTGCCCTGCTCCTCCTCCTCCTCCTCCTCCTCCTCCTCCTCCTCCTCCTCCTCCTCCTCTTCTCCTCCACCACCTTCTCCGAAGCCTCCTCCTCCGCCTCCTCCCCCCCCCCCGACCCCGACGGGGTCGTGGCCGCGTTGGCCCAAAGGGTTGTGCGTCCCAGGCTGGCCCCTCCTGCCCCGTTGCTCCGCCGGCGGGGCGACGAGGGCGGAGGGACGGATGATAGGTGTGCGGGGGGCCCTGTCGGAGGCCTCTCGGGGATCCCACCTCTCCTCCTGTGGTCCTCGGTTCTTCTCCTCCCCGCGAGCGTGAGCTCCTTGTGCCGGGGCAGCCCCCGAGCAAGCGACCCCGCCTCCTGGGAGTCCCTGGGCCCTCGGATCCGAGCGCGGGGTCGTCTGCGAGCTCCGTGTCTCTCGACACCATCCCCATGCTTCGGTCCCGAGGCCACGCGATTTGTATTTGTGGTGCGCTCCTGGCATGTCGTCGCTGTGGCTCCATGTGTGAAGGTGGTTAGAAATCACAACTGTTTGAGCCCTGCCGCCCTGACCTTCGCGAGCGTTGCCAATCCCGCAGATTTCAGCGGGGCCGAATCTTTGATAAGAATTTGCATCCCACTGTACCTAGACGAGCGATGGTCACACCTCATCCACTTAAATTTTCTGATGATGCAGCAGTTTGGCTTGGACTCGTCGAATCGTGTATGCACGTTCCTTTCGCAGACATCCTATGTGATGCCTGAACACTCGGCCTGGAGCTGACCGTGACGGGAGGCCCTCCTTTTGGCCTCCCTGGGTCGCAAGCCCCACGTCCTGAGCATCACTGTCGATGGAGAGTTGTGCGTCTCTCCTTTCCCCATTGCTCCGCCACGTCCGTCACCAGAATTCGGCGCGCTCTTCTATCTGGGCCGATCCTCCTCCTCCTCCTCCTCCTCCTCCTCCTCCTCCTCCTTCCTCTCCTCCTCCTCTTCCTTCCTCTCCTCCTCCCTCCTCCTCCTCCTCCGCCTCCTCCTCCTTCCCCCGCCTCTCCGCCTCCTCCTCCTCCTCCTCCTCCTCCTCCTCCTCCTCCTCCTCCTCCTCCTCCTCCTCCTCCTCCTCCTCCTCCTCCTCCTCCTCCTCCTCCCATCGCCCGCCCGCTCCCTTCTCGCCTCCCCTCCCCCCCGCTGGGCGCGGGGACCGCGCGGCGCGAGGGAACGCGCATGTCTACGAGAACCACGTGGAGCCCCTGCGGACGCAGCTGGAGCGGGGCCCTCGGGCCCTTCTCTCGGAGGCAAGAACGGGGTAGTATGTGGAGTGCTTCCCCGAAATTCTTAGGCGACCCGTCCTCCTCCTCCTCCTCCTCCTCCTCCTCTCCTCCTCCTCCTCCTCCTCCTCCTCCTCCTCCCCTCCTCCTCCTCCTCCTCCTCCTCCTCCTCCTCCTCCTCCTCCCTCCTCCTCCTCCTCCTCCTCCTCCTCCTACCTCCTCCTCCTCCGTCTCCTCCTCATCCTCCTCCTCCTCCTCCTCCTCCTCCTCCTCCTCCTCCTCTCCTCCTCCCTCCTCCGCCTCCTCCTCCTCCTCCTCCTCCTCCACCTCGCCTCACTCCTCCTCTCATCCTCCTCCGCCTTCCTCCTCCTCCTCCTCCTCCTCCTCTCTCTCCTCCTCTCCTCCTCCTCCTCCTCCTCCTCCTCCTCCTCCTACCTCCTCCTCCCCCCCCTTCCTCCTCTTCCCTCCTCCTCCTTCCTCCTCCTCCTCCTCCTCCTCGTCCTCACCTCCTCCTCCTCCTCCTCCTCTCCTCCTCCTCCTCCTCCTCCCCTCCTCCCCTTACCCCTCCCCCTCCCTTCCCCCTCTTTCTCCTCCTCCCCTCCTCCTCACTCCTCTTCCTCCTTCTCCTGCTCCTCCTCCTCCTTCCTCCTCCTTTTCCTCCTCCTCCTCCTGCTCCTCCACCTCTGCTCCTGCTCCTTCCCCTCCTCTCCTCCCTCCGCCTCCTTTCGCATCCTCCTCTACCTCCTCTCCTCCTCCTCCCCCCCCCTCCTCCTCCTTTTCCTCTCCTGCCTCCTCCTCCTCCTACTCCTGCTCCTTCTCCTCCTGCTACCCCCCTCCTCCGCCTCCTCCTCCTCCTCCTCCTTCTCCCTCCTCCCCTCCTCCTCCTCCTCGTCCTCCTCCTCCTCCTCCTCCTCCTCGTATTTCTCCTCCTCCTCGGGTCGCCTACGGCCCCGGGGGAAACCGTGCAAGGAGCAGGCAGAGAGCGTGTGGAAGCGAAGAAGAACACAACGCTACAATGAAGTCGGGCCTGTCCCTCTACAGGAGGAACATTCAAGAATAGTCCAAACATGGTCTGGGGACGATGTTTCTATAATGTGTTTGACTCTTTTGGGGTATGCTTTGTCCATCTTTCATTTTTCGTCTAAAATCCGCCTGTAGGAGGACATGCCCGACCTAACGCTACAAACATAAACTTTCGGAGCTCCGCGCGGAGTTTTTGGATTCGCGCCCGGGCCCCCCAGCAGTGCCTCCGGCGCCGCCTTTGGCGCGCTCCGCGCTCCAGGGGGAGGGGGGTCCAGCGTATATCCAAAGAATCCGCGCGGAGCGCGAACAATTTATGTTTATAGCGGTTTTCTTCTTTTAAGGAAGGTGCATGGAGACAGCCGGGTAACACGGCGCGGTGCCTGTTTCGAGAAGGTGGAGTCTCCCCCATCGGATGCATTGTTGCAAACAGTCGCTCTAAGCAGAGGTTCCCCCTCCCCCCTCCCTTTCGCCCAAGGTCGAAACGCCGAAAAGAAAACGCTCACCAAAGCTATTCCGTAAGTCCCCCCATTTCCCACATAGTCGAACAGGCCAGAGCCATGTTAGGATGCCAGGGCAACGACAAGAGGCGATATCGGAACCTCATACAAGGAGGGCTGGTAATCGCGACGTCATGTAATTACGAGGGATCGGGGCCTCGGGGGCGCGAATTTGGTGTAATTTGCGATGGATCGTTGCGCCGGGGGCGCGAATCAGGCATAGCTTGCAAGATGTTCTGGCCTCGGGAGCGCGAGTCTGGTGTAATTTGACAGAGAATCTGGTCTCTGGAGCGCGAATCTGGAGCACTTTACGACGAGGGATTCTGGCCTCGAGATCGCGCCTCCGACGTAATGTATGAAGGATTCTGGCCTCGGTCGCGCGAATTGGGCGTAGGTCGTTAAGGATTCTGGCCTCGGGAATGCGAATCTTGCGTGATTTGCACAGGGGTTATTGCCTCGGCGGCGCGAATCCAATGTATCTAATGGCCGTCGGCCCATCCCGCCACATTCCTGGGTTGTGGGTGAAAGTTCTCAGGGATGCTTCTTGGGGTCTCTTCGGAGCGCTCTCGGGGGCCTCTTGGGGGAAGTTCGGTGGCATCTTGGGGGCCTCTTGAGTGCCTCTTAGGGCTTCTTGGGATCCTCTTTCCAGCGAAGATGTTCATGATGCCTCCCCGAGCCAGGCATAATTGGAAGATGTCTCGAGCGGGGAGGGGGGCTACACCACTCTGGCTCCGCGCGCTGGTGGTGGTAGTGTCGCTGTTCCTTGTTTCTACACGTGAATTTTGACGATGGTGTTGGTGCCGTTTTCCTTTGTACATGCCGGTCGTTGAAAGTTGCTATTTTTGGACTCCAGATCCCAATCTACTACAAGCGCCCTACTACTTCAAGAACCGATCCGCGCTTGCCGTGTTTGGCTGTTTCCCGGGAGGGCCTGGACCCGGTCCACTCTCATCATCCGCCTTCCTACTTCACGCCTTTGCTCGATTCTTCCGCCCAGCGTGTAGCTGACGAACCAGCAACACACACCCATACCCATAGGGGGATCGGAGAGGGCTATGGGTGCGTGTTGTCGGATGGGGGTCCCAGCTCGAACGGGAGCGTTCCCCAGGGTCCGACAACCCGCACCCATACCCATAGCCAGTCCTCCTCCCAACGACCTCCCTATGGGTATGGGTGTGTGTTGTTCGTTCGTCAGTAGCGGTGTGTGTGTACTTCCGAGGCGGACTCCGCGCCCGTTCCCGCTCCTGAAGGTCAACCCGGACGTCAAGGACGCCCTCCTCCGCCGATCTGCCCCCCCCGCTCCTCCAGGCGCTTTGGCTCTCGCCTCCTCCTCTCCTCCTCCTCCTCCTCCTCCTCCTCCTCCCTCCTCCTCCTCCCTCCTCCTCCTCCTCCTCCTCCTCCTCCTCCTCCTCCTCCTCCTCCTACCTCCTCATCTCCTCCTCCCCCCCCCCTCCTCCTCCTCCTCCTCCATCCTCCTCCTCCTGCTCCTCCTCCCCTCCTCCTCCTCCTCCTCCTCCTCCTCCTCCTCCTCCTCCTCCCTCCTCTGGGATCCTTCGGACCCCCCTCCATCATTCTTGCGTTCGCGTGCGACTCCGCACCCCCATCGAGGGGCACGGAGGACTAGGCAGCAGGAGGAGAAGAGACGGGCGAAAGAACGCTGGCCACCCTCTTATTGGCTCTCTTGTACTGGCCGTGGAGCCAGCTGATATGTGGGTGATCTGCGAAGCCAGCTCCCACATAGCATCTTTAGGATTCCGAGCCCCTGCGCCTTTCCGAGCCCCCCGCCCCGCGGAGCTGAGCGTCACGCTATCTGCTCGCAGGGTCTAACCCTATGCCCTGATAACAATCCCTGGGGGATCATACAATTCGGGGCTCAGGGGAGAATGATAGACTCCCCCCTGCAACTCGCATGTTCGGATGTACGGTGTACGGATGTATGGTGCACGGAATGTAGTCGTAGTAGTAGTCGTAAAAGTCGTAGTAATAGGAGAAGTAGTAATAGTAGTAGTAGTAGTAGTAGTAGTAGTAGTAGTAGTAGTAGTAGTAGTAGTAGTAGTAGTACTAGTACTAGTAGTAGTAGTAGTAGTAGTAGTAGTAGTAGTCGTAGTCGTAGTCGTAGTCGTA